ACCAGCACCAGGACCAGCACCAGGACCAGCACCAGCACCTACTAGTACATGAGAATGGCCTCCAGCGTCGAATACGTACGAGTATCGTACATCGTACCTTACGTACCAGTCCGAGATACCGAGTACGTACGTACGGTACGTACCTGTAGTACGACTTCCGTATTCGTACCAGCAATCGTCTCTAATCGTAGGAGTACGTACGTACGTACGTACGTACAAGCACAACTTACGAAGTGGTACGTGCTGTGTCGCGTCGTCTACCGTTCGACCGTACCGTACGTCATCCAATCGAACGAAATCGTCAGTCACAACCATGCTCTTACCACCAATCGCTTGGCTCCGTGACTTCTTTTTTTCCGCACTTCCGGGAGGGCACGGTACGGTACGGTACCGCACGGTACGATCGATTCCAACATTAATTTTCCTTGTTGGCTTGCTTGCTTGCTTGGGGGGGGGCGGGGGTCGTATCGTATTGCTCCAGTACGGTAGGTACGTAAGTATGTACAGAGGTACGGACCGCAATTAATTGTTGCTCGTGGGGCGCGGGTGGTTTGTACCCTCTGACATCAGGTAGGCACGTACCGTAGTACTACCACGAAGTTTTCGTGCAGCATTACATCATTCTCACTTGCTTCTCTGTTTCGGGTACGCAACGTACCGTGGGGTACACTCGTAGCGTACTAGAGTCGCAATGGCCGTAGCGTAGTCGTACCCATACCCGTACTGGTATCGTACCGTATGCCGGAGGCCTACCGTAGCGTAGCGGCAATCACGGGCACGGAACAACACAACACCAGCATTGTTTGTCGTGCATTCGTGCTGCGTACCGTGCCGTGGCAGAACAAGTGCGAGCCATCGATCAAACGGAAAACACTCGATTCTTACCACTCGGTGCCCCGACAAGCACCGCAAACTGCCTGCAGGCACACAGTACCCTACGTACGCACCTTATTCTTGTGGCAGGGCAACCAAGACGTTTCATGGGCGATTCCGGCAACGCAACCGCGCAGGCGGGCAACGGCATGAACAACAACAGCAGCAGCAACAACAGCAACAGCAGCAACAACAGCAACCGCGGAAAGGGAGGTGGACGCGGGGGAGGCCGCGGCAGACCGGGCCGCGGGAGGGGGAAGGGACGCCCCCGTGGAAAGGGCCGGGGAGGCGGAAGCGGAGGCGGCGACCCGAAAAAGAACCAGGATTCCGGACCAGAGGACCGGGGCGGATCCCAGGCGGACGAGCCCCACAACAGCAACACCAGCAACAACAACAACAACAGCAACGGCAACAGCAACCACCAAAGGCCCCCGAGGACGGGAAGGGGCGGCGGACGCGGGACCAAGGGCCGCGGGAGGGGCCGCGGGGGCAGGGGAGGCCGCCGATCGCGCGGGGGGAGGAACACGAACCCCAAGGCCGAGGGCAGCGGCAGGAGCCGATCGACCAGCCCGCTGCCCGGATCCGAAGAGCATCCTCGTCCTCGTTCTCGTCCTCCCCCGGAGGCCCAGCACCAGCACCAACACCAACCCCCCCCCTCTGCCACCGTCCACCAGTCTTCCGCCGGCCCAACCAGGGCGGTGGCGAGCGACCCCTTTGCCTTTGACCAGCAGCGAAGCGCCTTTGGGGTTGGAGTTCCGGTTGGAGTTCCGGTTCCGGCCCCCGGCGAAAACTACCTCCAGCAGCTCTCGGTTTCGGTCGGAGACGCCCGCGTCCAGCCGCAGCTGCTGCTCCCGACGCCACCCCGCCACCCGGGGGGGAAGCAAGGCGTCCCCATAATACTCTCGAGGAAATCGGCGGTCCCCCTGCCGCCGGCCACGGTCCACGCGGACTACGACTACGATTCCGAGGCGCAGCTCCTGTCGGAACGCCTGGCCGCCTCGGCGCTGGAAGACAGCTTTGCCGACGACATTGCCGACGACATTGCCGACGGCGTTGTGGAGGAGGAAAAGAAGGAAACGACGGTGGCCGACCACGAGTCCCTGCCGGCCGGCCTTTCCGAACCCAGCGAAGGCCCCTTGCCCCCGAAACCACCCACGAAACCCCCGGGCAAGAAGCGGTCGAAAAAAAAGAAAAACAAGAACAAGAACTCTTCCCCGCCGCCAAACGAGGACGAGGAAGCGGTGGCGGAACAAGAGGTCACGACGGTGGAGGCAATCCGGGCCATCCCGGCGCAGGAGGTCAGCATCACCAGCGACACCAAGGTACAGATGCGCCGGACCGAGTCCTCCGCTTCGGTGGGAAAGCTCGGCGACGACAGACCCAAGAAGTTCGACGGCAGCGGCGCCGGAAAGGGGAGCAAGAAGGGACGGTCGAAGCGGAAAAAGGGACTGTCGAAGGACGACGCGGTCAACCAGAGGGCCGCCAAGGCCTTCAACAAGGCGGTCCGCCTCTGCGTCGAGCGGAGCGATCCGGACGGCGTCAGGGAAATCCTCCACGACAAGAACAACCACAACTTTGCCCTGGACAAAACGGTCCTGGAAACGGTCATGAAGGCCTACGTCATGGCGGCCATGTTCGAGGAGGGCCTCTACTGCCTCCGGCACTGCACCCTCCCCGGGACCCTCTCGACCCTCCAGACCGAGCGGATCCTCACCTGCCTCCCCCAGAACCTGAGGAACTCCAGCGCCTACACGGCGGTGGACATGATCAACGCTCTCTGCATCGCCACCGAGTTTGACAACCCGACGAGCCGGACCTACTTTCTCCGCATCGTCCGCGGGATCTCACTGGAGTTCCTGGAGGAGGTCCTCTCGGCGAGGGACCGGATCTGCTCCGCCCCCTGCGAGCGACTGGTACGCTCCGCGGTCTGCGTCGTCGCGGCCCGCCTCAAGCGCGGGAAAAAACCGAACGAGATGGCCGTCCAGCCCGGCGAGCAGCTCGGGATCTTTGTCCCCGATTCCATGGAAAACCGGGGCATCCAGGCGGGTGACGCGGTGTCCATCCTGCCCTACGCCGGCCCCTACCCCATGTCGGCGGAGAGCCTCGACCGGAACATGATCGAGGCCACCGTGACGAACACCAACCCGATGGTCCTGCGCCTCCAGGACAAGATGAACGCGAGCCTCTACGCCATGCTCACCGAAGACGCGGACGGCAACGTGTACCGGATCGACAAGCTCGCCAACCGGATGGGCTTCAACCGGCAGCTGTCGGCCGCGGTCTCGATCGCCAGCCCACTCGGCGACGGCAAGAGCCGGGACACCCGCCGCCCCTGCAAGCAGCTCATCAAGGCCATCACCGCCATGGACGAGAACATCGACCGGGTCATGAACCACTCCTCCAGTAGGAGTCCGCACGGCTCCGAGATGACGTCGACGGCGGCGCTGTGCGCCGAGGCCGTCCCCTGGAACTCCAACGACGAAAAAGAGGACCGAACCGATGACGACGCCAGCCGGATGGCGTCCAACCTGGCCCTGGAAAAATACAGGGCCCTAGAGGGACTCAACGCGTCCCAGAGCCTCGCCGTACAGGGTGCCGTGACGAACCGCCTGACGCTGGTCCAGGGTCCCCCCGGAACCGGAAAGACCGCCGTGGCCATCCGGATCCTACAGCACTGGGCCAGGCTTGCGAAATCGGAGGCCGCTAGCGGGGAAAACCCGTCGCCCATCCTGGCCACCTCGGACTCGAACATTGCCGTGGACAACCTCGTCGAGGGCTGCGCGGCCGTTGGGCTGCAGGTCGTCCGCCTCGGCCGGCCCGAGGCCATCCGGCCCGAGCTCCTGCGCTTTTGCATCGATCGTCCCCCCTCGACGTACGGTTCCAACGGCAACAAGGACCAGTACAGCGGAAACCCCGCGCAGGCCTTCAAGGAACGAATGAAGGCGCTAAAGAAAGCCCAGATCGTGTGCTGCACTTGCATCGGATCGGGGGGCGACATCCTCGACGCGATGACCTTTGATCGGGTGCTCGTCGACGAAGCCACCCAGGCGACGGAGCCCGCCGTCCTCGTCCCCCTCATGAGGGGCTGCCGGCAGCTGGTCCTGGTGGGCGATCACTGCCAGCTGCCCCCGACCGTTCTCTCGACGAGAGCGGAAGAGGAAGGACACGGCGTGCCTCTGTTTTCGCGCATGGTGGCCTGCGGCGTCCCGCCGTTTATGCTCGACACGCAGTACCGAATGCATCCCTGCATTGCGATGTTTCCCTCGGATCTCTTTTACGGCGGCAAGTTGCTGAACGGTGTCTCGGCACCGGAACGGCGGCCCCTGGCGGGATTTCCGTGGCCAAGAGAAGAATTTCCCGTTGCCTTTGTACCCGTCAAAGGAATCGAGATGGACGACGGCGTGAGCAAAATGAACGAGGCAGAGGCCGCGGCTGCTTGTGACGCCGTAGCCGCCCTGCTTTCCGGTGGCCAGTGCATCCCATCGGACATTGCTGTTGTGACGCCGTACGCGGCTCAGGCTCGCCTCATTCGGCGTATGACCCGTCGGCTCACGCAGAATTCGAACCAGGGCTACATCGAGGTCTCGTCCGTGGATGGTTTCCAGGGCCGGGAGAAACAGGCAGTCGTCTTTTCTGCGGTAAGAAGCAACGATTACGGAGCGATTGGATTCGCGGGAGATTGGCGCCGCGTGAATGTTTCGTTCACCCGAGCACGGAGGGCGCTCATTGTCATCGGAAACGACCAAACTCTTCGTCGGGGAGATCCCGACACCTGGATGCCCTGGCTTGCATGGGCAGACGCGCACGGTTTGAACATGGACAAGCCTGGTGTTCCGAGAGGAAGGTATGATCCCGAACAACTCCGACGAGTAAGAGGAGGGACAACTGCGGCCGAAATGCTCAAGGACGTGCTCGAGCGCCAGCAGGCACAGTTGAAAATAGCCGAAAAACAGCTCCAAAAAGCTGAGAAGAATGCCGCCGGTCATATAATTGGAAAAGATGACGACGAAGAGGGTTCTGGTGAAGCTGGGAATGCAGCAAATGGCCAAGGACTATCGTTGGAGGAAGACCTTGCTCGTCTAACAAACACGGATGGAAACTGGGATGACTCCGACGACGAAGATGACTGCAATATGCATCACAGTACGTCGCAGCCAACTCTTTCATCGGTCGATCGTGCAGATGAAAGTTGCAGCGAAAACGATTCACCCGTTGATGTTTGGGATCTCTAGTATCGAACAGTTTCTCATGCAACATGAGTTATAGCTATGATGAAATTTTGCGTTCGTTTGAGCATTTTCTATCTTTTTCTGGAAAAATGCGTTTCGTTCGCTTTATTTGGTACGAACGACGGAACGTTGACAGTGCTTTGTGATATTTCGTATACGTTGATGACGTACCGTACGAAATGTCAAATTAATATGCAAGGCATACCGGTACTTCTTCCGAACTAGTACGGGTAATAATGCCATTATTCAAATATTTTAAAGTATATCTCCTGTTGCTTGCTGCAAAAGCTGGAAATGCCAGAGCAACCTGTTCCACAAATGCCACTAGCAGCTTTTGTGAATGCAGCGGGTCCTCCATCGCTTTGACAGGCCATGGCACCGTCATCAAGGAATGAAAACGGTACCAAATGGAAGTGCTTTATAATATGGCATTTACTTCTAATTGTCATGATACTGTCAAATTGCAAGATAACTTTGGCGTGATATACAGCCTTAAAGTGCGCTGCTCTACATTTGTGGCCAAATTACCCCTTTGCCGCCCTGTCATGATTACGATTACCCTACTGAATGCGCTGCTGCTGGTTTGGATACTGCACCGAATACAATCTGTATGGTCAATAAGAAATGCCAAACAAGAAGAGACGTGGCAAAAGACTACGTAGCTGAAAAATAGTTAAGGGTGCTTAAAATGTGACTCTCTGAATAGCTCTAAAGTTTGCAAATTGCTTAATACAATGATTACAAGTATCGGTGGATTGGATCGGTGAAACATAAACAAGAGCATTGGCATTGCCCACTTAAACTATTGAGCTTATTTCAATGTTCCAACAGTGAGCTGCTTAGTGGATACAGTACTTGATACTAGTAGTATTCAGTTTGGGACGTACAGAATGTAGTAGAAACGAACGGAAAATAGTTAAGGGGTGCTTAAAATGGTGTGACTCTCTGAATAGCTCTAAAGTTTGCAAATTGCTTAATACAATGATTACAAGTATTCATGGATTGGATCGGTGAAACATAAAAAAGAGCATTGGCATTGCCCACTTAAAGTATTGAGCTTATTTAAATGTTCCAACAGTGAGCTGCTTAGTGGATACAGTACTCGTACTACTACGAGTACTCGTACTTGACATTCATTTTATTTTGGGATGTACAGTATGTAGTAGAAACGTACGTAAAGTAGGACCCTTGTGTACGTACAAGTACGAGTACGAGTAGCGTTCGAAGTTCGAAAAGGTTTCTCGTCATCGCTCTGAAAACCTTGGTTGCGATTATATCTCTTGAATTGACCGTGTTGTGCCTCGAAATCCTGCATCGAATCATCATCAATCATCATGAATTCAACACCACCGTACATTACGTACGCACATGTACGTACCGCTATCGGCTCTAACTCAAATCTTCAAAATCTCCTCAATCCAACAACAGACCATTCTTGATACTTAGTCTCGAAACCTTTGTACAACAGCGGTGATAGAGGCCTAATTTGTTGTGGTTATTTGCGGCGAGTATAATGCAACTACTTAACAAATTTCCTCGCCTTGCTCTCCTGCTTGTATCGCTGTCATCCGGTTTGGTTTGCCATGGTTTTGTATCCCCCTCTCCCTCGATTTTGCCGTCGACGGCTTCAATAACATTGTATCGGCGTACCTCGTCCTTATTAGCAGAACAGCTTAACGTTGCATTCGTTACAGGGAACCAAGTAAGTGCGCTAAACATCTGCTTCCTTGTATTCTTGCTGACGAACGCACGTGCTTTACTTACTAACAGCGAAAAATAAATGTTTCCTTCAATGGACTGTAGATGAAAGTACGAGAGATTGAAATGATACTTGCAGAAATGGGTGCTATTGACCCAGAAAACCCACAAGAATCTCTAGGTGAGAATAGTATGGCGTTGAGATTCATTGTGCTCTATGAAGCACCCACGGAATTCTAACTGGACATTATAAAATTTAACTTTTCTTGAAAGTGAACTTGAGAGTCGTCCAGGTCGATCTGCCAGAAATTCAAGAAGTCAACACGGAAGGAGTCGCAAAGGAAAAGGCGCTTCTCGCGGCTCAATTGGCCGGTGGACCTAGTCTGATCGAGGATACTAGTTTGGAATTCCATGCATTAGGAGGTATGCCAGGACCCTACATAAAATGGTTCCAAGAACGTTTACAAAGTGTTGGTCTCTGGCGGATTTTGACTGCGTATGAAGATAAATCGGCCACCGCTGTTTGCACCCTTGCATTTAGTCCAGCACCCCATGCTGATCCCGTATTGTTTACAGGAAAGGTTGATGGAACAATTGTCGAACCGGTTGACGGGCGTGGATTCGGATGGGATAGTATTTTTGTTCCCGAAGAAGAGAATCAACCTTTCAGTTGTTTGTCTACGGAACGAAAGAATGAGCTAAGTCATAGGGGGGACGCTGTTCGACAATGGGTCAATTGGCTCTATGTGAATAAAGACGAACTCATAGAGAGACAGAAGACAGGACGACAGAGTATTGGGCACAAAGGGTTGGATTTTAAGTCATACTCCCCTGAACAATAGACTTTCAAAATTTTTTCTCTGCTTTTGATCTTTTCCTTACAATATTACTTAGTTTGAGGTCCAGGAGTTAGTATCATGGCGTTATATGACTTACGCCGATATAATATCCAGACGCCGCAGAGAAAAGATGCCAGAATCCATGGAGGATAATGTATGGAGTTCCGTACTCGTAAATCCAACAGCTGAAGATAGAGACCAAGTTGTAACATTGCAACACATAGCCGAAGAATGAGTATTTTCAACGACGGGCAAGCAATGTAAATCGTTCGGTACAGAAAATAGAAGGATACTGTACTTACCTAAGTAGACATGAGATACCAAGGACTGAGGCTATAATTCCCTCTATTGGTGGAGCCGTTTGATCAATCGCTAAATAAATAAGTCCGACTACGATTGCAGTTACGGCAAAGAAGTAGTCGACCAAAAGCTAATCAATATTACAAAAGCAACGCATTAGGTAGAACGGAGAGGTAGAGAAGACGTACAATCGAAATTTGAGGATAACTCACTGCTAGTTTCACTGTAGATTCCAAACTACGGCCGTATGGTTGCTGTAGTTGGGTATAATGGTAAACAAAACTCGCGACAGAACATAAATCTGTCAGAACTCCTAATAGAATTTCGCCCTTTAAGCTTAGAACAAGACCGACGATGGCGTATGCCAAGTTTGTGGCAAGGAATATTTGGCCGACAGGGGTTCTCTCACTTTCAATGTTTGTTAGAAACAATATTGTTGTATTTTGAACATGAAATCATGGGCAACGTATCTTGACATACCTATCTGGTGTTAAATCAGCAAAGCTGAGGGCCCAACCACCACTGATATCATCGAGGAATTCAGCTGTAGGTGCAAGAGCATTCTCTACTTGTCGCTGCAATGGACTTGTTGCTGGCGACGCGTCGTATGTGCGATTAGTTTTGCTTGCCGAGCCTGCGATCCTTTTTCCGTCGTAGATTGTCGTCAATTCATTCCTCGGAGCGGAAGTTGATAGAATATTATCACCGATCACGGCTCTTCTTCTGATCGGCAGAACAAATGCGTCGGATTGTAGCGCGGCACAACTACAAACCAGCAGAATGGTATTTGAGGTTACCATTTTCAAGCGCTCAGGTTTTCTGATATTACTAAGAGATAAACAAAATACGTACTTCACAGAAGGTATTTCCTGTCTTATTGAAAGATTGAAAGATGATCGAACCAACAGCAACGATGAAGCAGCGTGAAACGTGACACCAAAAGAGATACACAGTAGATACTGTTCTACGTACCGCACGACAAGAGTACGTACGTACTTGTACATACTATTTTGCAACCCATCTCTCAAAAATTTCTACTCCCCCGTAGTAGGAAATTCTACTTGAAGGCCAGGAGAGCTACCGAAGGGACTGTTTCTTCATTATTCGCACGATACCGCGCGTTTTTAATGGTTTTATGTTAAAAATAACGTCTATTATTCAATATGAGTCATTCTGTTCTAATCCCGTGTAATTTACTTAATGGGGGGAACCCCAAAAACCAAATTTTATTATCGGCGAAGTCATTTTAATTAATTAATTAATTAAATTTAATTAATCATTTTATTAAATTTGATAAAATGAATGATTAATTAAATTTAATTAATTAATTAATTAAATTTAATTAATCCCCCTTAGTACTTGTTTAACGGCCGGCTTGCAGAACCGGTACTGGCCAGTAGCATTGCTCTGTCTTACTAATTACTAAATTACTGCAGGCACGTACAAGTACTACTGTACCAGTACAATAGATACCCTACAGCAGCAGCTGCAGCTGCAACAAACAAGCACACTCAGTCGATGAAAGAAAAAAGCTCCACTGGACACTCCATTAACACTACTAGGAACACCTCTGGTTCCAATACTCCAGTGTCTTGTGCTGCTCTGGAGGTACAAAAAATCGTGAATAAAATATGTACTTATTAAGCGTCCGGATCGATCTTCTTGCTATCACCAGTACTACACGCTTTGAATTTCAGCAGCTCAGTCTCCAGTTCCATGATATCTCTGTTGAGCGTCGCAACCGGATCAAGTTCCTTGTTGGATTCAAATGAGTCATCTGTTGACTGACAAGAAGCAACCGAAGCAGCTACTAACTCAAGTTTTTGCTGTTCTTCTACTACTAGTCAGTTGGTGGTCATGTTGTCATTGCCTGTACTAGGACGAACAAGTGCTTTGCCTAACAAGGTTTATGAGGGGGAATGATGTGAGTTCTAGTTCTTTTGCGAGAGTGCTCTCTTTCATCCATTGCATCATCAGCAAGTACAAGTTGCTGCTGATTCTGCTGCTCCTCATTGTTATGAAGAACACGCTGCTGCCGGTTACGAGGCTGCTGCCGGTTACAAGGTTGCCGCTGCGCAGGAGCATCCTTCTTGGTGTTGTGCTCACGCCTCTTGGCCTGCTCACCACCATGGTGAATTCCACTTGGTTCCTAACCTAAATTAGCCTTTCTTTCACCAACCTGGATGCGTTGGTTCATATCCTTGTTTGATCGAATATCTGCTTCAGCAATAATTTGGAGTACTTTGATAATTCCCCCGGGAGGAAGGGCTTCAGCATCAGAAAGATCCTCCTTCGTGACTGAGATATCGACAACATCGATGGTGACAGCTTGCTTGTCGATATTCATTGGTGTGGCAAACTGGATGGTGATGGTATCCTCGATGATCTTTTCCTTCATGGGTTGACCAAAAGGATCTTTCTTGTAGAGCTTCTTGAGGTAGCGTCTCATGGTCCAAATGACAGCATGCTTACTGTCAAACTGGTGCTTCTGTCCCTCTTGAATTGCAACATGCCTAGAGACCTTCTTGAACCACTTGGGCCATCGAATGGTGAGCTGAAGGTTGAAGGGATCAAGCCACTCGGGGATGATGAGATCAGCATGAATGGCGTTGTGCATGATCATTCTGATCATGGTGAAGACCTGGTCTTCATACTCTTCATCAGAGGAATCCTCATCATTGGTGTCCTGTGAGTCCCAAGTTCCTATGATAGTAGGATAGGCGCTTCCCAAGACCCGAACATGGCTTCCATCTTCAAGAGACATGTTGTTTGCAGCGTTGACAAGATCATCAACTGAAGTGGCCTGGAGGGATGGAGGAATCGCAGGCTGCTGCTTCTTCTTTGCCGATGAGGCAGGAGCACTAACAGGCATCTTCTCTCGGCCGCGTTTTGGATCTGCTACTGGTGGGGAAGGAGTGAAGAGTTGAATTCTTGGTGGGGGGGAGAAAACTGGTGTAGTTCTTTTTGGATATGCGAATGGTGGGGCTGCTGGTGGTGGCGGAGGAGGAGTGGTTGCTGCTTGTGGACGTTGATCCAGAGCAGTAGACAAGGAGGACGCAACAGTACTAGTTGCTCTCGCAAGATCAGTAGATGGTGTCCTTGGAATGCCTTCAACGTAAGGCTCTTCAATTATGTGGTCTTCTTGGTGTAGGGCTTCAGCAAGAAGATTTAGTCTCTACAATAGGATTACTACAAGTTAGTTTCTACTTTGTTAGCAAAACGCCCCAAGTCTACTACGAGGACGACTGTTGTTCATTGTCGATAGTAACGCACTTACTTTTGCTCTGTTATAGAAAGCCGACGCTGCCTTCCAGTTTTCATAAATTACCTTGTAATGCCTCCAGTGCTCAGTTGAACCAGATCTTGCGTTTTCCCAACCCTCAGTTCCTCCTGTTTTGAGATAGATCCAATAATAGTACACTACAAGCTTCTCCACTGTGCTCAGTCTATCGAATGATGTAGCAGGTGATTGTCCTTTTTTGATTTTGTTCTTAGATCCAAGGGTCCTTGCCATTTAGAAGGACAACAGTTGCAATTTTAGATTAGCGTTGTTACTACTATTTTGTTTGCAATATTATAATTCTACTAGGAATTACGCGAGGAACTAATCTTGATTTCCTTTCTACGCGTTACACCGTGTTGAAGAGATAAAGTGCCCGACAGGCAATTTTCTATACTTAACAATCTTAATCCCGGAAGTGAAGCAATATGGCGATGATAAGCATTGATGTATACCTATATTGCAAAGAATGACTATATACAATCCTTATGCGTGTATGTTAATATAAAGCATTGGTCTGTCTAACGGAGGACCGAACCCGTCAAGGCTATACAATTGGAAATACAGCATTATTGCCTAGTATAGCTGAGGAGAGCCACTTGACGGGTAGTACTACCAGAGCATACCGGAGCCTACTGGAGCCTACTTCGGTCAATGTTGAAGCAAACTGGAGACCAAAATACTGATCTTGGGAGCTTCCTAGCACAAAACGCTCGTAGAAATCCTGTAGAAAATTCAAAATCAAGGGGGTATACTGTCAATTTTGCTCAAAATGGAAGGGTTTTGATTCCGCGTTCAAAATCGTACTGTGTCCTAGTGTCTTTACCTGAACTTTCCTAAAGCACGCTGATACAGCGTGCTAATTTAGGCAAAGCTGCATAAACAGCAACAACAGCAACACCAAACAKCAAGCCCAAGCTCAATGGATGCAGAAACGATTGAAAATATCATCCGCGAGACTATTAGATGGCCAGATCATAGATAATGGAGTAGTAAGCATAAGGACGATCGTATAGCTAGTCTATTTGGAGCATCGAGCTCAGTCATTGCTAATTTGTGGAATCGTATATATGAACAGCTTGGCGATGAATCACTAGCAGCAGAACCCAAACATCTATTGTGGGCCCTGCTATTTCTGAAAGTATATGCCACGTCGGAAGAGATCCATTGCGCTGTAGTCGGCTGGCCACATAGGGAAACGTTCCGTAAATGGTCATGGTATTATGTTAGAAAGATCTTTGAGCTGCAAGAGCAAGTTATCGTGTGGGAGAATAGATTCCTTGGTCAACCTCAATCAGCAACCGGCGAGTACTTGCCACAGGCAGATTGCATGATATCTGTCGACTGGACTGACTGCCCATGCTACGAGCCTTATCCATTCAGCACAGACATGTATTCAGAGAAATTTAATGGTCCAGCTATTAGATATGAAGTTGGAATCTGTATCGAAACAAGTTACATTGTCTGGATTAATGGTCCCTTCCCCAGTGGCACTTCTGAGAAAGGCATCTTTGATTCAGAGCTTGCAACGAGGCTTGAGGACTGGGAAATGGTGGAAGCAGATAGTGGACTGAGGGGAACAATAAAGGGAAAGACCCCAAACCAGGGGATTGACAGCAAGCAAAGAAAAGAAAAGTCGATCATTCGGGGTCGCCATGAAAATATCAATGGAAGACTAAAGATCTTCAACGTATTGAATGCTTCATTCCATCACACGGAAGGGAGGGACAGGAATGACATGATAGGAAAGCACGGAATATGCTTTGCAGCTGTGGCAGTGATTACTCAGCTGAAGCTTGAGGAAGAAGGGGGACTCTATCATGTCGACTACGACGTTCGATACACATAGCAAGCCCAAACAAAATATGATAGTTCTTCCCTAGCAAGAAATCGTGCCACGCCCTCTCTTTTGCTGACCACCATTGCAATAGATCTATTCCCACTAGTCGTACGACTGCTGCTGTTCTGGAGGTCTCGGTGCATGCTGTTGCTCATGGTGTTTGTTTTCATTGTCGAACGCTGATTTTTGGTAAAAAGCTAATTTTAACACGGCGTTTGTACGTAAAGCTAAAACCCTTCCAAAGAGCAAAATGGACAGTATATTGATTTTAGGTAAAAAGCTAATTTTAACATGGCGTTTGCACATAAAGATAAAACCCTTCCATTTTGAGCAAAATGGACAGTATACCCCCTTGATTATGAATTTTCTACAGGATTTCTACAAGCGTTTTGTACTGGGAAGCTCCCAAGATCAGTATTTTGGTCTCCAGTTTGCACAGCTAGTGTTGCACTAACAGCTACGTAGCTCTTGCTGCTGCTCGTACTAGTACTATCACTTCATGAATGATTAATTAAATTTAATTAATGAATCAATTAAAAATTAATTAAATTTAATTATCGGCGAGTTACATAGACTTTTTCCAAATAACAACCTTCCCCCGAATTGAAGTGACGAACCCAAAAAGGCAATTCAAATAAAGTGCATGGAATCTTCTTTGCGCGCAGTCAGCATGCTCTTTTCTGTCCCGTTTTTAGTCTTACGGGACTGATTTCGTGGCTGATCGGTAGCTCTCCAGTACGCATATTGGCAACTCTCCTTACTAGGTCGTACGTGTACCTACATTTTTCATTTGCCTTGTAGTACTAGAGCTACTAAGTACGGGCCCCATAATGGCAAGTTATTGGCAATCCCCCGGGTGTCAATTTTTTCTCATTTTCCTGTCTTTATTTCCCCTCCCCCCCCCCTCCACACAAAAAACTACTTAGTCCTAAAATATTTCTATTAGTGCTCCTTACTACTGGGGATATAAAATCAGTGGTTACTACTTGAGAATTAATATTAGTGCTTACTACTGGATCACCTCCATTACTACTTACTAGTTGGGATGCCATAGTAGTGAAAACTTCAAACTGCTGGGTAAGGATGTTCTGTTGGTGCTGCTCTCCTCTCGCTGATTTTCTTTTTAGATAGGGAGCGACAGCACGTGCCGCCAAAATTGTACGACTCCAGGGCCTTGGAAAAGGAGCCTTTCACAGAAAAATTCACCAGCTCACTTGCCAAGGAGGAGGACAAGAGGAGAGCGGTGTTAGTTGTGTAACATGAACAACAACAAGCCACAACAGAATGTGGTGGTGTATGAGATGGAGCTGGCAAACATCTCAATTAGTTGGAATATTTCAAGCAGACACTGATTATACAATATAATAGAGCAATAGGCAGAGCAGCACCAGAGCACAGTTACGGCATCTCTGTACTGAAGGACAGGACAACCACTACTAGTAGTAAGTAGATAAAAATCTAGAACAATGTTTCAGCAATTACAACATAGGCAGGAGTACAATAATCAAGCAGTGACTGCAATAGGATGGTTATAGCAGATTGAAAACAAAGTGCTAGAATAAAGGATCTTAGTAAGAATTTCTGATAGGAAACATAATAATTCCCATAGCAATGAAACATGAGTTGTGTAACAACAGCAGCAGTGTGAGTAGAAGAAATAATTGTGTTTGTGATGGTTGTGTTGGAACTCATTCCTTAGGCACCTGAACTGTTCAAGTCCTCTACCATTAACATTCTCATGCCTATTTTGAATGTGTCTTTTTGCAATTTATTCACTTTGGCAACAGTAGTCAACAGTAGGATGGGGATAGTATGCTCTGTTGGCTTCACACTTTTCACTGGGCAAAAGCATTGGGGCCACAAGGGTTCTGTAGATTGTTAAGTCAGATTTCAAAGCAGGGAATGACCCATGGCATGATATAATTTCTCCAGTTTGAATGCAAGTGCTAATTCCATACTTCAAACCAGAAGCCTTGTTGAACTTTTGACTGTACATTTTTGGATCAAATGGGTATCCTTTCCAATCTACCTTTGTTGTCTTCTCTGAGTTTGGTTTGTTGTGACTTTGAAGTCAACAGCATCATGGTAGATCTTGCAAGTTTGATCTTTATCCTTTATAAATCTATCATCAAATTGAATCTATCACAAGAAGAAGATGAGAAGAATCACTGATCATCTTAGCATTCTTACAATTGGGGACTCGCCACTTTATTGCAAATAGAAAGGAATGCAACCTTGACACCCTTTGTGTGCTTTCTAATTGTCTTTGGGTCTTTTCTCACCAACACCTTTTCAAGAACCTTTTTTGTTGGATATTAGTACTTGCAAAGATACAGCCACCACAGCATGTGGCTGGGATCTGCAGACTTGTTTGAAGACAACAACAATGTGTGTATCGACTTCCAGCAATGAGTCAATACAATCAGTGTTGCTCCAAACTCTGCCACCATGTTGATTCTTTGATGTGACATTCGTCATGATAGAGTACCCTGGAGACAATCTCAACCATCTGTGTTGCAGACAATATTGCTGATACCATTGTTGTTCTCCTTAATTATCTGCAGAACACCAAAACAAAGCTGCCCCTGCAGCAGCAGCAGCAGCAGCAGCAGCAGTGGGATCATTAGTCATGCAGCAATGACAAGCAGTACCAACGCAACACCAGTACTAAGCCTTTCAAACAGACCATCCTGGTATGCTGATGGGTGATACCACCAAAGACCACGCTTGAGATTTATTGCTCCTCCTCTCTGCTGTTGCTGGTCTGCTTAAAATTCATTGCTTGATACTGCTGTTTTCTTACAGCTAACCACTAGTACCACCAGAGGAAGTTGCATTACAGTATGGTACTGGTATTACAGATATGAGTACTAAGAGTATTTGTACTTGTACTACGTACTTAATACTACAGGAACGTGCTAGTATGTTAGATTACGTACAATACAGAAAATTAAAACCCTCCACATCTGTTGGAAAACATGTATATATGCTATATTTTGAATACAATTGCTTGCAATTGATTACATAGGGGATGGGGGGATAATTGTGGGCTAGTACTATACCTGCACTCCAATTGTATAATTGTATACAATTGCAAAAAATAACGTATTTTTAATGCTGTATAATTTTTGAATTGTTTGCAATTGTCTATAATTGCATCATACAACTGCCAACAATTGCATACAATTGTATACAATTATGTACAATTGCACTAAAAAAATGCAGATGAATGCAATTGCAAAGAATTGATTGTCGTTGAATGTTGTTGACTGTTGTTGACTGTTGTTGAATCATGTTGTTGCATGCACGACCACGCTAGGCATATTTGGTATGGGAACCACATGAAAATTCGTACAGTTTTTTTAGTCAGCATCAAACAAGCTTGATAGGACTTCTACCTCATTAAAATGACAAACAAGCAAGTAGAGCACTGCTGTTTAAACAAGAAGCGGCTTTATTACTGCTCCCAGGAAGCAGGAGCACAGCAGGATGGCAGGCACAAACCAATGACGAATCTTACAGTTTTATATCATGGTAAATGCCAAGTGGAGAACTGAAGGTGATGCTGCTGTAATCCTTGCTAAAGCAACAAAAAAGAATTAGAGGAGATGGATCTACTCATTAAGCAAGCAAAGCACTGGAATGTTCTAGCTGAGCTAGAGTGTCATGACTTGCAGCGCGAGTAGTTAGTAGTAGTAGCAAGCAAGTACGTAGCATGATTTACTGCAATAGTACTGGTGCGGTGAGCGCTATCAGAAGGAAGGACACACACACTGGAGGGTCCAGGGTGAGAGATTCTTCCCTTTAGAAGGGGGTGCCATGGTCGCTGCAAACAACGTTTCGTGTTATATGATCTTAGCTGATGGGTAAATATCGTGGATTGGAAATAAACTAACTAGAGCTCTCAAATCAAGTAGAAGGTCGAATCCCGCTTCATAGCTTTACTATTCGTTCCCTTCACGATATCATCTAAAAGGAAACACCGTGCGCTGCTGCAATTGCAAGTTTCCGTCGCAGCGGTCCAAAGTTTTGGATTGCATTTATACCCAATGTCTTCGCGTGATTTAGAGGTACATTCTGATTTTGAAACAATCTCTGAAGAGCATGAATCCCTCCAAGTGAAATAGAAACATTCTTATGGCGATTTGAATTATATTCATTGAGGAATGAAGATAGGTCCATTCCTGCATCGTTTGCCTTTTTGAGGCATGAAACTAATACGTCAACGTCTCCAAGTCCTAGGTTTAAGCCTTGACCTGTTGCAAAAGCAGCGCTTATGAGATGATATTCGAACCGAACAGAATAAGGACAGCGTTCACGCGAGTTCTCCGTGTAGGAAATCAAAATGACTTACCAGCCATGGGATGTACAGTGTGAGCAGCATCGCCAACAAGTGCAACGCGCTCTTTAACAAATGTGGTGGCGTTATAACAGGAGAGTGGAAACGTAAATTTGGGAGATGCAATAGTTGATATTGTTGGTGGAACCCGAAACGAAGACTGCGATTGCTGTGACGCCATCGCAAGGCCATAATGAACGGTATCCAGTACTCGCTCCGCTCCATATAAAATATTTGAGAGTACGCTATTTTCATTTGAAAATTTCGAATTCTCCACCTCTTCTATCAAAGATGGAATGCGTTGCGGTCCCTCAAGCAGGCAATCATTCAAATGCTGAACCAAATCCTCCTCTGAAGCGTTTTTCCATCGCGCTATGTTTCCTGGCGATGTGCTCCACACGATTACAGCATGATTTGCAGAATAAGTGGGAAGTAATGCCAATGGACCACCATCGGAAAGGTAGCGTTGAAATGCTCGCCCGTTCATCGACGTCGGATTCTCGAGAGCAACGGTAAATGTAAGAGCATGTTGGTCATAGTCTCCTCCTATTCTTGAAACTCCTGCCGTTCTTCTCACCCAAGAGTTACCTCCATCCGCACCAACTAACAAAGCGGTTTTGAATTCGTCTCCTTGTTTGGTCTTCACAGTAGCTAAGTTATTCGAGTCACCGGTATCAAATGAGTCCAAGCTGGTGTTCAAAAATATTTCAGTTGATCCTTGAATCTCCTCATAAAGTGCAGAAACTAATGCCTGATCTTCGCAACAACCTCCGAGGTATTGTTTTTCGGTGTGATCAGGATCTAGATCGTTTGAAGTGAACGTCAGTGCAGCGGGGGAAGAATTTTGCCATACCTGCATGGAATCATAGAAGCCAATAGGTAGTTGGGATAGAACAGATTCTCCAAGAACGTCCAATGATCGCGGAGAAAGCGCATATGAGCGTGGACTCGGTATCCGCTCTGAATTAGGCTTTGACGGCGGAGTTTCTTTTGAATCTATGAGAGCAACCCGTAGATTCGGTAATTTCTTCAATAGCAAATTGGCCATGCTTGACCCGACCACGCCACCACCGACTATCGTAACGTCGAAAAACTTATCATGGAGCGCTGACGAATAAAAGCATCTTCTTTTCAATCTAGTCCCAGTGCCTTTCGTAGCAAGGGTTGATAGAAAGTTCGAAATCATTTGAACAGTACTCGTACCTTGCTATTGCCGAAGTGAAATGAAAGAGAGAAAGAAAAATGAATAAATTTCTGCTGCCCGTTTGTATCGTGATGTTGTGACATACAAGCCGTACGAGCAAGTACCGTACGTACGTACCAGTTAATTCGTTGAGTATTGGAAACGACGGACAGACGAAAGACGGAATCAGACGGCCCGGCACCGCGAAAGCCAAATAGCTTCACTAACTCAAGCCCTCGTTGCCTCAACAAGCCTTGACTTCATTCTCGAAAGTATTGCGGTGAAGGACAGCCATGGTAGGATGAGACATGATGTGAAACAGGAAAATTCACCACGACACATCATGTACATCACCACCACAGCAACAACCTAACCAAAGCACCGAGAGAATCCGGTGAAGACGCAACGACTCACCGCCAAACAGAACGTACAGCACCCAACACACAAGGCACCCAGCCGCATCCGCCAACCAAACAAATGACCTCCAGGACACTCCGCCGTGCCCATCCAGGACACTCCGCCGTGCCCGTAACACCACAAACAACTAAACCAACCACATAACCACCCAAAACACTAGGAAACCCACCGAAAAACCCAAACGATGCCTGTTACCGGAACCCCCGGAAAATCGCCAAATAGAATACAAAATTCGCCAAACCACTCCGCGGACGAACCAAACACCCCMGCAACCACACATCCTCATCACACAACCACCAACTTGACACCACACCATGACACCAACCCACAAGAGTGAACACGAAAGAAAACCGAAAAGAACACCAAAAATAAACAACAACAGGACCAACACCTAACTAAATTAAGCAACGCCCACCGCCAACCCCCCAACAAGCGACAAATTAGGCAACGACACCACAAAAACAACCCCGAAACCAATACCACACCACATCACCTCAGCACCACACCAACACCAAACAAACAGCAATAAAAATACTACAACAACAATCAACCACATGCCCACAAATCTAATTTTGTAAAACCAAAAACTCCCACACCCTCACCCACCACCATGCCAGCCCTCACCCTTGCCCCCGCCATCCGCGACGACATCCTCGCCGTCCTCAAAGACAAACCCCACCCACCACCTGACACCCAAACCCCATGGACCCCAGGCAACCTCTACCAAGCCATCCTCGACGACCATGGAGTCTCCCCAGTCTTCGCCCTCGGCCATAGCCACAACAAACTGTACGTAATCAACCTACACCAAAGCAAACACCAACTCCTCACGATCCAACGCCAACAGGCGCTGGAACAAGTGGACCGCAGATGCCCCCAAACAACTGGCCCGAACGGAACCCAACAAGCCCTCACCAAGAACCCAATCCCGTTCCTCAAACCACACGCAACKGCAAAAGCAAAAAATGCACGACTCCTCCAGGAAATTCCCCCATCCCTACTCGATCTTTATTGCACTGACCAGCATCCGACCCACCCCAACAAACTCCGCACCACACTCATCCAGGAAAAGGTCATCACCAAAACCTCCCCAACAGCCAAGTGGCTCCTCGCAGCTTCCACTCGCAAACACGAGGACCCCTCCACCAGCAACCTCCTCCTCCCCAGCACCAATACAACCCTCCCATTGTCCGCACCACTCTCAGCACAAATCATCACCGATCTTGAGGACCTCTGGCAAAACGACGCATCAACAATCACTGACCTGCTCATCGCGAACAACGTCCTCACCCCAGAAAMCCCAGCRCCGGCCACACCACACAACKCACAACCCACACAACGCGACAACAACGGATCCACCAATCACGCCCACCCCACACCTGAACACGAAACACCCCAAACCAACAGGAACACCATCAACCTCCTTACCTCCCCGGACCCTTCTCAACAAGACCCACGGGCACCCCACCCCTTCCCCCCCCCCCCCCCCCCCCACCCTTTCCACACACCCCCCCCAGCAAGACCTTCCACCGTCACCCCTAACCATAGCATCCACACCATGGCCGAAGATATCCACACCATGGCACACACACGACTCCAACACCTCCTCACAACCATCACCGGCACGCCAACCCCAGCAGAACTCAACCAGATGACCCTCTACACCTCTATCATCAACGCACCGAAGCCGACCACCCCAACCCCACAAACACCACCCAACACCCAACTCCTCCACATCATAGGATGGTCCGGCCTCCCCCTCTCCCAACT